ACTTAACACCTCCTACTCCCAGAGTTTGTGAGTGATCTGGTACTTCATCATGAATCATTCAAAGCCCAATAGTGTGTAGATTACTGTGCAATGAGCTATCTACTCTCATAAGTTGAATACATTTCACAATAACATTATGGATTTGTAAGGCATCAAACTAAATTAATGGATATTTGATTGTGTTTTTTTATTTTCCTGCACTTTGAAATGAAGATAAGGCCCTACTCAGGTTCGCTTCTCCTGCCTCCCAAGATTTAGCTAATCATATCTAATTAGAAATCTTGTTAACACAAAGAAGGGAACAACAGACACTGGGGCCTAATTGAGGGTGGAGAATGGGAGGAGGGAGAGGAGCCTTAAAAAACAAAACAACAACAACAAAAAAAAACCAACTATTGGGTACTAGCCTTAGTACTTGAGTGATGAAATAATCTACACAACAAACCCCCAAGACACTAGTTTACCCCTGAATCTAAAATAATTTTTTTAAAAGAAAAGAAATCTTGTTACCAGACAGCTTGCAAAACAGAAACATTCTACTCTCCGGATAGTTTCTTCCTTAAATAATTGGTGATGTAAAGTAGTTTGTCATATTGTCGAGCACTTGAATTTATTTTTTAAGCTGAGATTAAGATTATAAGCATTTGAAAATTGAGACTGAGCATTTTAGACCAGTTAGCTAAAATAAAAATTCGCACACAGAAATTACAAATGGAATACAATTGATTAAAACTTGAGAATACCTTAAACATTTTAATGACACTATACACAAAAAAATAGATAGTATTGAATATTGCTAAGGCATTTACACAAATAAATAGATTGCATAAAATCTATATAAAGAGCAGTTGGTGAGCAGACTGCCTCACTGGGAACATTTCAAGCAGAATGAGAGCTAGAAGAGAAAATGGCCATACAATGACCCTTTTAAAGATGATGACTGAGGTGGAGAAATTCACAAGACCCTACAAAGTCTTTAATGACTGTAGAGAATCTGGACTTAGTTTCTCAGCAAGACTGGCAATCTTAGGTGAGTAAATTTACTCATTTTAAAACAATTAGTTTTCTTGACAGCAAATGGCCAAATCCCTAGAAACCTAGATCTCTCCTTATAAAAGATCTAACTTTCTCTCCATCCAACATAAACCTTAAAGTGCAGCTTTAAGACCCTGAAGATCTTAAGTATATACCCTAATCTCTACAATTCACTCTAATAGCATCCTTTTATTAAGAACTTAATATGATGCAAGGTACTGTCATAACTGATTATATTCATTGTTTTTTAACTTATAAATGTCTGAGCAAGGCAAGGCATTATTTTCTCCTTTTCACAGCTGAGTTAAATGATGCTTAGTAACTTTCCCAAAGTCACATAGCTTGTAAATTGTGCAAATAGTGCTCAAACTTATATCTGCTCCTTCTAAGTTCAAGGCCCTTAAGCACATAATTATGCTAATTCATTGTTCAAATCAATACTACTGCCCTCCCTCATCCTCTCAATTGTCTTTGACCCTGTTGTAAACAAATCATCCATCTTTATATGAAAGATTAGTACAGTCTTTAAAATAGAAGTTGCTCCTATTTTAAAGAAATGAGAAGAATGTAATAGTTAAAACAATATTACATGCAATCAATAAGTGTGTGTGTGGTTAATTAATAAAATATAAGCTGTGTCTTTTCTTGGTATGTGTTACTTACTCTGGTATTTGTTTTGGATAGCAAGTTAAGCTATTATCAGAGTAAGCATGGTTTTCCTATGAAGCAATAGCATTCCATCCATATTAAAGTTAAATCTGGTAGTACAGTAGTGTTCTGTGCTGCTTTTCCTCAAGATTCACAGTTCCCAAAATAGCTGTGTCCTTTGTAAAGTAATGAAGAAGATTTCCGAGTAAGGTTAAGGTAAGCTGTAGCATATTCTCCCAGGTGGTACGAAATACTCTGGTTTTAAAAAGATCACCTCAATTAAAAAGCTTCTAACATTATTCCTTAACTGTGTGATCATGACAAGACTCCTAACCAGGTAAGCTTTGGTCTCCTCAACTGAAA